TGAGTGTTTAAACTCGGAACATTTTAGCAGTCCCAAATCACTGATAAACTATGAACCTTTATCTAATGTGAGCTAATCATTTTATGCTTCATGCTCATCCTGACTAGCTAAATGTTAGGTTGGGAAAAAAAATTAAGGCATTAACTATTGAACTGAACTTCGCACATTTCTGGTTTGTTGCGCATGATAACTGGTATGTAGTTGGTTTGGTCACCTGGGCAGTATCACAGCCGTCACACATATCAGATGAGATCTGTGTGGCGCATATGTATTGGGGCCTCCTTGTACTAATATCTATATGTTAAAATAAAGTAAAATAAAATAAATGTAGTTGGTTGACGTAGTATAGAATTTTTTAAAGTGGCGTAATTATATTCATTCTTAATCTTACATACTTTCCACTTCTGACTTTTATTCTCATATGTTAAGATTTCCAGTTCAATAGATTTTTGTTTCTTTATGTTTCTCATTATGCGAATGTATAATGTAAAAACTTCACTCGTCCTACATTTCCATCAAGTTCTATGTTGTTTCAAACTCACTGAACTATCACAGTATAATCATTTAGTTGACAATCGTACGTCATAAAGCTTATTTATCACGATCCTGTAGAATATTTTTTTATAATTTGCATCACGAATTGACCTTATTTAAACAACCGTTGAATAGCGGGAAAAACTGAACAGTTTTTTCGTTCTAGCGTCACAGTAGTAGTAGTGTAACGGAAAGAAAACGATGAACATCCTACGGCAGCTTTTTTGTTGGACAGTATTGTCATTTATTTGTTTCTTCTCCCTGTCGTGTATTTTAACCTTTGTTTAGATCTCGTTTAACCACACCTTTTGTTCTTCAGTCTTCCTCGTCTGAGCTTTTATTATGTGATTTTGATGAAAGACTCATCTTTTGTTACTTAATTTTCTATTGCATGTTGCCGGACTATTGACAGTAAGGTCGTGTTTGACTAAGCTAAAGATTACGGCATGGTTCAGTGTGTGGCTGTTAACCTTTTGACTGTCTGCTTTGGAGGATTGTTGGAATCCTTACAGGTAGATATTTGATCCCATCTTGTTGGGAATATTTTTTATTGATTCTGAGCGCGCTACTTTGCGTTAAAGAAACTTCTGTCTGTATAAAACAGGCTGTACCGTTTGAGAACTGTAACGACCGAAATGTCAGTAATCGGTTTGAACACAGGACTGACGAACCAGAATTTATTCGAATAGGCCAAACTACTTTCTTCTGTATAGTGTACGAAGCGTTTTTAAGATACTCGTTTAAATTGAGCACAGAGTTTGTGTTTTGATATAATCTATATATATATTATATATATTAATGACTGATTTGGAATGGTAGCGCTTTCGGAGTTCTAATAAGAATCTATGACCTGTAGGGGTCAACCAAATCATACGAAGTAGTTATTCACAAATATCATTGAAAGATAGTTATCCAATATCTCGAATTTATTTGCCAACTGATTGGTCTAAAGACTAGACGTTTGTCTACAGATTTGAACTTTTTGGACTGAAGCCTCGGTAAACATTTTATAACAATATTTTTACAGATGTCAAAAATTGAATATCTAGAAAAACGTTCTATTATAATATTTCGTGAACGTTATGACAAATTAGTTGAACGTCGACGTATGGATATGAAAGATATGGCTGATACAGTATCTCAGCGTAAGTTACATTAATCTTTTGTAATATAACTACATTATTGTAATAATTATGTACCTTTATTTGTTTGTTATTTACTGATGATACATAAATCTTAACGTAATAAAACATTGAAAATGATACCACACACTAACGGAGTGATAATATTGTGAAGAAATGCAATCGAAAAAGACTGTACAATGAATAAATAAACAAACAAGAATGATATTTAAAATGAATTATAGTTCAGTTGAAAGTAAAGTTGAAAAAGATTAAGCAAGTTTATTTCACTTTTATAAAGAGTGTGATAGAAAATTATGACATCATCGCTACAGGTTTCTTCTCTGAACTAGTCCTATACAGGTATTTTTCATACTAAGGCAACATGTCATAAATGGACTACCACGACGCGCAATGCTAACCGGTGTTGGGGACGGTTGGAAGAAAGATAGGAGCGACCAAAGCAAAACATAACATCAGTGTTTGAAATCACTAACTTCTGGTCTGAACCATGTTGTTAGATGCAGACTACCTGGTTAGGGTCCGTGTGACTATCGTAACCAATGGTTGGAGACTGTGGGTAACATGGCTCAGAATCGATCACAATGGCGTATGTGTATACACTATCTGTTTTCCTTTAAACTAAGTGATTAAAATCGCTTCATATCTTTCTTTCTAGGGACTAATTCTTTCTTCCTGTACTATCTTCTTTTATGCAATCTTTCTTCTATATATTGCCACCATTGAATTAAGTACTTCTATGACTTCGGTGTTCATCTTGTTGTGCTAATGACGTATGGCAACTTGCACCGATGCATATATGTGCCTGGTCCTACGTTGCAGCTGACTGACTGCTGACTCCGCTTTTTCTATCCAATCTCAACACCAGCCAATAATGTGTAATTTGAAAGCTTCCATGATTACATTCGTAATATATAAACAAGCCATTTTTGATGGAGTTTTGTTCATGTAAGCTTACATGAACATCAATTAGCAGTCAAACGGCATGATATCTCCTCACTTATATCAATACACGTGGACAACTGCGGACACACATTCGATTGGAAAAATGTGGAAATCGTGGACAGAGGAAATTCTAAAAACACAAGAGAATTTTTAGAAGCCTGGCACTCAGGTCAATCAGCAATCAACAAACATATTGAAATCGATCCGATTTATCAACCAATCAGGAAACTTATGCACAAATATAGGAACAAGAATCAAACCAATAGGAGACAAAACCAAGACAAAAAGGTAAACAATGACAAATTTAAGATCAATAAGAACCAATCAACATCGAGGTGCACAGAACAAGCTGTGAAACGCATATGGAGAAATTCGAACACTTCACTTCTATCTGAAGTTTGTGCTGATGATGTCGTTCAGAAGAACGATGAAAGCTCCACGACCAAACCATCCAGCTCAGAGAACAAAACTCCATCAAAATCATCCACCTGAGCTACAAATCTTCTCCACCATCTCAAACAAGCCATTCAACTCAGTGTTTCGATACGTTTTCATACGTATCAGTTAACTGATTGGATTTCTAAGGTTCGCTTTCACAATTTAGAATTAACTGTTAACCTGTCAATATAAGTAACTCAATTTATCTTATTCTGGTCTATATCAAAGAGAAAATGAATTTAAAGAGTCCATTAAAAACAGGAGCATTATGTAGCTAGTTTTTACAACTTTTTTGGACTCTTTAAAGACATCTGTTAGTTAATCAGAATATATCCTTATTAATCTAAACTATTATAGCAAGTTAATCTGTTTATCCACGATGAGATTGAAATAATAGATACAAAATTATTTAAAACGAGAAGCTTACTGAATACTAATTTGTATCATTTAGTTTATAGAAAATATCTTAAAGGTATCTTAAATCATAAATTGTAATCGAGGATACCGTTATAAATAACCGGTTCATCCCGGTTTATGACTTCTCATCAATGTACGCAACCACGACCTCACTGAAGATGATCAAACCCATGGTTGTCAGGTCTCGTGATGTACGTATCTCGTAGTTCACTTTTCTAAATCTATTCAATATCCAACATTCCACAATTATCATTATTCAGTATCTTTTATAATACTTATGTTACTCCCGATATAGTTGATCTGGACTATCACGATAACTTTGGGGAATATAATTATGTTCTCAATAGTAGTAACTAACTTCGGTAAAAATTGTTAATGTCAATGAGGAGCCGTCATTTGTGGGTTCAATCCACCTAGATATGATGGCTGAAAATCAAATAGTCAATAGTAAATTTATATGCGGCACCAAAGAAAGGTCATTAGAATAACAATTATTGTACTTAATTATATTTACACAACCCATAAATCGACTTGGTAAAATGTCTTTAGTGTCTGCAAAAAACACAAGTGATTTTTATATGTGGGATTTTGGCGGGTAGAATCATCAGTTTAAAGTTTTAAAAAATTGTTAACAATTAATAACAGTTCAAGTTCACTTCTATTTTATTTTTTATTTGAACACATAGATGTTGGCACAAAAGGCACCAAATAAATATGAGCCACACAAATCTCATTTGATTTATGTGAGGGCTGTCATACTACTCGGGTGCCCAAACCGAAGCAGGTGGTTTTCTTAAGGAGCCACACCCGGAGTCTTCGACCTAAAGGTCTGAACCATAAGGAAGTGGAGCAGCGTCACAAGATGCAGTCCCATGGTAGCCTGTGACCAACGATTGGTTCATACTCCATTTGTTCCCTCAGGATACTGGAGCTCATGTGCACTATTGGTTTGGAATGAGGGTTTTCCAACTCCCCTAGGTGGACTCTCCATGTCCACCAACCCGGTTCAAGCGCCGGACATTCACTCTTCGTCCTCTCAATTTCGTAAGCAACACCCCCGCAGTGAGTAGGACTTCCCTGGCAGAGGCTATATACGCGTGTCCATGTGAGAGCATTTCGAGAGGGTGAGCGGACTCTCTCCACTCTTTGCCGTATCAGGGCATTTGGGGGCAGTTCGCTTCTGACAAACTAACATATCAAATATATTCGTTTCGTCTAATTTTATTTTTACATTTATTAGATTTTCTGAATCAATGAAATATTTCTATCATAAATATTTGTTTCCCTGTTCGGTGGATTCAAGAATAAATATTATTTTTTGTTTTATTTCCAATATATGCTTCGTGTGATTTCTCATTTAGCAACCATATCATCTACATGTACATCTAAAACACCTGAAGAAGTAAAAATTTTTGATGCCAGACGTAAAAGATGTGCTGAACGAGAATCCCGACGGTAAGATTATTTTAATAAGCATTAAAAGTATATGTGATAAGTTGTATTTTTGTTTTTTTTATCCAGTATTTTATCCCTAGTATAAATACATATCATGTCGTCCATAGTTAACAAGGTGAAGTTCTTCGAATTCTAGTTACATAAATGATGTGAACCCATTGTAATCCGAATGCCCTGATACGGTCATGTGTATAATAATTACCAGGGAAGTCCTACTCATTGCCTTCTCGCAGTGGAGTTGTTGTTTGCAAAATCGGAAGGACAAGAAGAGAATATTCAACGCTTAAAGCTGGTTGGTGGGTACATCAAATCCACCTAGAGGAGTTAGGAAACTCTGACTCCAAATCAGTGGTGTACATGAGCTCCAGAATCATAAGGGAACAAATGGGATATGAATTTATTGTTGGTCACTGGCTGCCATAAGACCGCATCTCCTGACGTTACTCCACTGCCTTGTAGATTAGATCCTTAAATCGAAGGCTCGAGGACTGGCTTCCTGAGTAAACCACCTGTTTCGGTCTGGACACTTAAATTAACCAATGCGAGAGAGAGAGGACTGAGAAGTTTGAATTCAACTTAAATAATTATTCTTTATGTTTACATTCAATTAGCATTTACATACATTTTTTCTATGTATTCAAATAGAATACGACGTCAACGTGCTAGAGAATTACAAAATCCTACTGTCATACAAGTTCATGTTGATGGAACTAGTACGGATGATGAAGAACCACAGGCTACAATTGTTAAACGTTCAGCTGATATAGGTTAGTATTTTTTTATGTGCAAACTGGATTACACTGCTAACCACTATCCATCTTTGCTATAAATAAATTGTTTAAAATATTTCTTTATTCTTTCACGTTTATAGTACTTTATCATTCTACATTGACATATGAAACGTAATTTTGATCAAAACATTTCTCATCTTAAAGTATGTGGCGTAACTTCGTTCCTTCTCAATAATTCATACAAATGCATAAATCAGTTTGGCTTTTTGAACTCAGTAGTTTGTTAAATGAAGCACTAGTCATGGATTCTAGTACTAGTTACTATTCAACTCTATTTAAATAAAAGGTTGTATACTGTCTGTTGAAAATTAATTGAAAGTACTTCACTATATTGACCAGATACCATCAGCAACAGCCTTTCATGGGAGAGAACAAACCAGCTTCCAGCTGAAGAGGAAATTAGGAAAATATAGTGGAAATGGATAGGACATACATTGAAGAAATCATCAAGCTGCACCACGAGACAAGCACTAACTTGGAATCGTAAAGGGAATCGAAAAAGAGGGAGGCCAAAGAACACATTACTTCGGGAAATAGGATCAGATATGAAAAGGATGAATAAGAACTAGAAGGAGCTGGAAAAGATTTCCCAGGACAGGGTTGGATGGAGAATACTAGTGAGCGGCCTATGCTCCTTCACGAGGAGTAACAGGCGTTAGTAAGTAAGTAAGTAACTTCACTATATATATATATATATATATATATATATATATATATATATATATATATATATATATATATAATATATTTATATATATAATATATTTATATATATAGTACTTGTTAATTATCCTAACAAGATTATTATTCAAATAATCCTAATTTTTTTTGTGTGTGTTAAAAATAATTTCACCCTGTCGTTGTCAGACGCTTTACTAGTGGATGCAAATGCTTTATTCGAAGATGTTGTTGAAGAATTTTGTGAATTACCATTAATCCTTGAAAGATTTATAGAATGGCGTAATAAATATCCTGAATCATATCAACAAGCTTATGTATCGTTGTGTTTACCACAATTATTTAGTCCTATAATACGAATTCAATTAATCGGTTGGAATCCTTTAAATGTAAGTTATTTTTCTTCATTTTATTTGTCTTTTCTCTTTTGAAAATGTTTTAACTCTTTGAACCTCCTCCCAATTAGAATACGCAGATGACATAGTCCTGTTTGGTGAAGACGCTGATAAAATGCAGAGTCTTTTGGTAGCACTGAGCAACAATGCCAGAATGTTTGGGATGGGCTTCTCTCCCTCTAAATGCAAGTTGTTGCTTCAGGACTGGTTTGCGTCAACATCTGAACTGAGGATAGGGAGTGAAGTAGTCGAACGCGTTGACAATTTCACTTATCTTGGAAGTCTGATCAGCCCTAATGGGTTGGTGTCTGACGAAATCTTAGCACGGATTCGAAGAGCTCGTTTGGCCTTTGCCAACTTACGTCATCTATGGCGAAGGCGAGATATCCATCTATCAATTAAGGGACGAGTATAGAGCGCGGCAGTTCGTTCCGTTCTACTATACGGCTGCGAAACATGGCCTTTGAGAGTAGAAGATACTCGTAAGCTACAAGTATTTGACCACAGATGCCTTAGAAATATTGCTGGGATCACCGGGTAAGTAATAGTGAGGTTAGACGTAGGGTATTAGGGAATGATGGTAAATCAGTTGATGAGGTTATGAATCTTCATCGACTGAGATGATTAGGCCACGTACTGCGTATGCCTGGACACCGATTACCACGACGCGCAATGCTCACTGGTGTTAGGGATAATTGGAAGAAAGGTAGGGACGGCCAAACCAAAACGTGGCATCAGTGCTTGAAGTCACTAACTTCTGGTTTGAGCCATGTTGGTAGATGCAGACTACCTGGTTGGGGTCCGTGTGACTATCGTAATCAATGGTTGGAGACTCTCGGTGACATGACTCAGAATCGATCACAATGTCGTTGGTATATACACCCTCTGTCTTCCTTTAAACTAAAAGATTAAAATCGCTTCGTGTCTTTCTACGAACTAATTCTTTCTTCCTGTACTATCTTCTTATATGCAATCTTTCTTTTATATATTACTACCTTTGAAGTGACTACTTCTATGAATCCGGTGTTCATCTTGTTGTGCTAATGCGGTATGGCAACTTGGATCGGTGCATATATGTGCCTGGTCCTACGTTGCAGCTGGCTGACTTAAACCTCCTCCCAAATTACTTATTTATTTGTCGGGGGCCGTTTAGAATTACTTGGGGGGGGAATTCTCTAAAAACGAGAAGATTTAAATTGCTTTGTTGGATTAACTTTCAATATAAACATTTCATAAATTTTTTAGAAGAACATTTATAGCTCAGGTAAATAATTTAATGGAGTTTTGTTCTTCAGGCAAAAGTTTGTGTTGATGATGTCGTTCGGAATAATTATGAAAGCTCCACGAGTAAACCATCCAGCTCAATGAACAAAACTCCATCACAATCATAGAAGAACCACGGATTTTGTGTTTTACCTTGATTTCGTTACTAATTTTAGAATTCTCCCAAATGATATTGTAAATATCTATAGCCTTAATATAGATTCTCTCTTATATGTGTAAATAAAGTTCATCGTATATCAGTTTTTCCTGTGAAGCTAATAATACATATATGTAGTGTGATTTAAACAATTCCCTGATCGTACATTGCATTATTAATATGCCTAATAGTTGGGTAAAATCATACTAAATACATTTTCCAATGAGTTCTACTCAATACACTTACTGTTGTCCTGTATCGTTCATAATGTAAGTCATCATTTACAATGTTTTTATAAAAGTTAATGATATTTCTACTATGATATATGCTACTTATACTGATAGATATAAGTATTACGTAGCAGCACTCAGAAATGGAATGTCTACTAGCAGAAGATTGAAATGTGAAGAGAACAGGAAGGAAATTGAGGAGTAATAAAAATAACAACATAATTAGATGATTAATGGAGCATGTAAAGGACAACACAAAGCTGTGCAAATGATGTATTTGATGTATGATGGTTTTCCTTACTTGAGTTTTCATTCACTACACTACTACTTTGTTGCCCCACATTAAACTAAACAACTTCAATTTTAAACGTAATATCTATTGGCGAAAGCTGATTGAGTTACATCATTAATATAAGCCTAACAGTGTTACATCAAAAAGTACAAGTGTTTACAAATAATTGTCTATGCAAAATACTCAATATCCTTTGACCGGATACTATAAACAACGGCCTACTGAGGGAAAGAACATACAAGCTTCCAACTGGAGAGAAAATTAGAAAAAAGCGTTGAAAGTGGTATTATTATTTATTTATCTGAACACATAAATATTGGTACAAGGGGGCACCAAATATATATGTGCCACACAAATTTTCATTTCATTTGTGTGTGGGGTGTGATACTGCCCAGGTGCCCAAACCGAAGCAGGTGGTTTTCTTAGGGGGCCACACCCCAAGCCTTTGACTTAAAGGTCTAACCCACAAGGCAGTGGAGCATCGTAAGGAGATGCAGTCTCATGGTAGCCGGTGACCAACGATTGGTTTATACGCCATTTGTTCTCGCAGGATACTGGAACTCATGTGCACCATTGGTTTGGGATCTGGTTGAATCGCTGGACATTCGCTTTTCGTCCTCTCATTTTCGTAAACAACACCCGTGGTGTGAGAAGTCAGTGAGTAGGGCTTTCCTGACAGAGGCTATATACGCGTGGCCATGTGAGAGCATTTCGAGAGGGAGGGCGGGCCCACCTCACTCTCGATCATACCAGGGCATTTGGGGGTATTGGAAGTAGATCGGATGTATTTTACGGAATTCATTAAACTTCATCACAATGCAAGACCTAACTTGGAATCCTACAAGGGAACGGAAAAGCGAAAGTTCAAAGAACACACTACATCGCGAATTGGAAGCAGACATGTAAAGGATAAATATCAACTGAAGACAACTCAAAAGGATTACTCAGGACAGAGTTATATAGAGAATGCTGATGGGATGGCCTATGCTTCTTCACGAGGGGCAACAATCGTAAGTAAATAAGAAGAGTTTAAATTATCCCATTAGTAATATTCTTGAATAAATATATACATCTTACCAATTGAACAAGATATTAGTTACTGGAACTTCACATCTTGGCGTAATAACTCATTGATTATTCTCAACAAAAATTACACTAATTCCAAGTTCCAGTGTGTACATCAACACTAGGATGCAGATATATCCAACTGACGAGTCTCAACTAGGACAAAACACACCTCTTAAATTCCACTACTAGCTACAGTCTATCTATTTGTTGAAATTTCAATGTCATTATTGTTTGATTACATGTAAACTGTTCTTTTTTCTTTTCCTAATCTCAGAATCATGCTAATCCAATTGAAGAAATGAAATGGTTTCAAGATTTATTAGATTTTTGTCATCTTCCATTAGTTGACAATCATAAAAATACAAAATCAACTATTTTAAATCATAACAAAATTGATAAAAGCGATAATAATAATAATAATACTGCTGGTAATATTGATGATGATCTTCGTATAATACCAAAGTCAATTGAAAAGATTGTTTTACAACGAATAAATGGTAAATTGTTATTTTACTTAGTATACATGTTTTTTTTAAAAAAATCATTTTAATTGAATGTAGCGCAACGGGTTGAGTGTGGCTAAATTGTTTCGATTGCCAGTCATTCGACTATAGATTCGAATGCTGTTTTACTTCGGTTTAATCAATCAGCAAATGAGTTTCAGGTACCAACGTTTCATCATCAACTTAGATCATCTTTAATACATTGATTTCACGTAGATTTTTCTGTCTTATTTGTAGACAGCATTATTAATACTATCCTAGGAAATGGTGAGCTACCTACTAATGCCTCTCGAGAACTGACTAACAGTTTAGATAGTGGTTGGAGGTAGTCGACAGGAAACCCTGGATCCGGGTTTCTTGCTACTTGGCACTTGTCAGCAAGGTGTACCTATAATCTTTTGAGGGAACTGATGCTCCCTGGTGGATTCGATCCCGTGTCACCCAGCTTCACAGTCACAGACGTTACCACTGAGCTATCCGGGCCGCGACCGACCTCCTGTAGGACTAGACACGCATGACATTGGTCACCCAGTGATCAATCAATTTTGATGACTAACAGTTTCTTCGATCGATTTCAAATATGACTAACTGATTACTAGCGTTTTCCTGTCATTATTGTTTGCTCATTCCTTTTGATTGGCTTTGTCTCTAATCCAATTCTTGATCTTATGATGGTTTTTCATTTTCATAATGGACTGATCCATTGAATTTATTTGTCAAGATCTTTATCGCTTTCTAAGTACCCTGATTTTTAAGTTTTTAAAATCTTTCTGGTTTTCATATTGCTTGTTTTGAACACCCTCCAAAGTTACAAGTTTCCTCTTCTTGAATTTTTGCTCATCAGTTATCACCAATCTAGAACCCTGCACAGATATACATCGATCCAAGTTCCTATACTTATCACATTAGCACAACGTGAGAGGAGACTGGCAAGAAACATAGCAAATTTTTATCACTGATAGTAAACAAATGACTAGACATTAATTATATGGTTCGAAAAGAAGGAATTAACTAGATTAGTAAAAAGTATAGAGATATTCTACATGTAGAAGATTTTGCAGAAGAATGAATCTACGTCACTGCTATATATTCTGTATCATGTCACTTAAAGTCTCCAAGTATTGATCACGATTATAATATACTAGTCAGTGAATAATCGATTCAAATCATTTTGATCCACACAAAACTGTGTGGTCATAACGGTTTGATTAAAAACATCACCTACATGTTATCCATATGAATAATTAACAGTTACTCACAACAATCCATAATACACTATTCTAGAAGCTTTACTATCAATTCAGTCATTCAATAGTGTTGACTGTATTACAGTCATCGAATTATATTTAACCTATCAAAACAGCTTTACCTAATGATAATACTACACTGTTGTTGAAGGCAATTAGTTATTTACGTTAGCATTAAAATTCAATGTTAATTCCTAGATCTAGAAATATTTCCACTACCTATTAGTATCACTGGAATAACTCCCCCCCCCGAAGTCAATTAAAGTCAAAATATCTTTGCTTGAAAATGTACAAATATATCTCGAGCATTAATAGTACATAATTCAATGTATTGATTTCGGTACAATGCCTTTTGTCAATTGTTTTTCTTTCATAGAACTAGTTTCTGCTTCATGGGATCCTTTATCAGAGAAACAATCATTACAATTAGTCAATTTAATGAATAATTTATGCTCAACTTATCCAACCATTTGTATTGGTAGTCGTCCAACAGAAAAATTATTCACTTCCATTGTAAAACGTATTGAAAATACAATACAAGAAGATATTTTCATACCACTCTATTCAAAAAGGTAAGCATTATTATTATTATTATTATTATTATTATTATTATTATTATTATTATTATTATTATTAATGACGTCTTTTTTTTGCGAGTTAACTTGGTATCGTGATGATGTTTGAAACGAACGGTACTGGGTTCAAATATTAGAATGTTAATATCAACACTGGAATGCAGATACATCTAACTGACAAATCCCAAACAGTATGAAACACCTGTTCTAGATTCCACAGCTAGCCACCATCTATCCCTGCTTATATTGCTTGTCACATAATGACGATATAGGAAAAATTCGCACAGGATCCCCATATCCTGCAATTTTAAAGATCACTGGGAAAACTATTCACAAAACCAATACATATAAGCGGAAGTATTTATCGAGTTTTTGCGTTGATATCACTCGGTAGTAGTAGTAGTAGTAGTAGTAGTAGTAGTAGTAGTAGTAGTAGTAGTAGTAGTAGTAGTAGTAGTAGTAGTAGTAGTAGTAGTAGTATTAGTAGTAGTAGTGTAGTGAATGAGAACTCAGATGGAGACAACCAATATATATTGTTTAACACAAAATTACAGAGTTCTTTGATGAATTATGGAAACCATACATTAAATATTTCATTTGCAAATCCTCCATCAATTGTCTTAATTTTCATCGTTCCTTCATTTCTATTACAATTAATCTCTATCCCCTATTCTCTTCGATTCGATTTTCCCGACTTTTGCTTCCAAGTGTTCCACTTCTGATTGATGTTATATCCTAATTATACCTGTCAACGCATTAATAGTGTTAGTAGTCGTAATTGTTACAGTGTAATATACACCATAGGAATATGAGTAGTATAATAATTATACCTATTATCCTTGAAACATTTTACCATCAAAATAGTAAGTATTAATTAAATCAACATTCTGGAAATCTCCTACTCTCTCTGTCCCTCCCTTTATTTCTCTTTGAATAGTTATTGTCTTTTTGTTGTTGTTGTTGTTGTTTTGATAAATGATTTAAAGACGTGATATTACAAATGAATTCCTTTTTCTTTTATTATGCAAATTTGCTACCTTATCAGTAAACAAATAAGTAAATAAACGAAACACACAATAATAACAAGTGTATTGCAGGAGAATGATTGTCATTTAACTATGTTCTTTCTTTTTTCCTTCTTGTGTTCTATATGGTTATGTGTATATATGTAGAAGTTGTGTAAAGTGAATGTGTATAGTGCTTAATAATTAATTCACAAGATTACATAATAATTCTTACATCAATAAGTTAGTTATAACATAGGATCCATACTTATGTACGTTGTTTCAAGTTACCATCAGTCAGTCAGTAACAACGTGGAACTTCGTACATACGTACGTACATCAGTTTGAGTTGCCATACCACATTAGCACAGAGATCCAGTTATCGATTCAAATCCCATAGTGTTAGAGGTAGTGAAAGTATAAGTAGTAATAGGGAACATTAGGCTTTGATGATGTTATTTAAGGAGTATAATCCAGTGTAATAGATTTGGAAAGAAAATAAAGGACATGAAGAATTCAGAAAATTAGAGTTTGGGAGAACACAAAGAGTTGATGCACCTGAGCACACTATTGTAAACGATTTTGAGCCATGTCATTCAAGGTCTCTAACCATCAGTTGCTGTCGTCTCGTGGATCCCAACCCCGTAGCCTATACCTACCAACATGGCTCACTCTGTCCACTTGTCAGTGACTTCATGGATTTGTGCCATGTTTTGGTCTGGCCGCCCCCAACTTTCTTCCAACCTACTCTTACACCATGAAACATCGCACGTCGGGGCAGTCGGTGGTTGGCTATACGTAACACATGTCCCAGCCATCTCAACTGATGAAGTTTCACTACTTCATCAATTGATTTGCCATCCTTACCTATTGCCCGTTTTCTAACAACTGAGTTACTTACTCGATGGTCCCAGGATATATGAGCGATGTTTCGAAGACACCTATGATCGAATACTAGTAACCTACGAATATCCTCTACTCTTACCGTCGATGTTTCACTGCCATAAATTAGGACGGAACAAATTGCTGAGCAGTAAACACGTCCTTTGGTTGATAAACGGATATCTCGCCTACGCCACAAATGATGCAAGTTGACAAAAGCTAGTCGAGCCTTTTGTGTCCGTACTGAGATTTCGTCACACACCAGACCACAAGGGCTGATGAGACTTCCAAGATAAATGAAGCGGTCGACACACCCAACTACTTCACTCCCTATCGGTAGTTCGGGTGTCTATGCAACCCAATCCTGAAGCAACATTTTGCATTTCGAGGGAGAGAATCGCATGCCGAATATGCCTGCATTGTTGCCTATAGTGGTCAGAAGATTCTGCATTTTGTCAGCGTCTTCACCAAATAGAACTATGTCATCGGCATATTCTAAGTCAACAAGTGGATCTCCAGGTAGAAGTTAAACCCCTGGAAAGTCAGATGTGGAAAGTGTTATTTCTAAAAGCACGTCAACTACAAGTTACCATAATCTATTAGCACAGAGAGATGATATTTTCGATTAAATACCTCGTTTCATTTACAACAAATGATCACTGTTAGTATGAAAATCAATTATTTTCAATGATATCACTATTTAAAATCTTCACAGTTGTATCGTTTGATTGTTTAAAACACTCAACGTTCATTCAATAGATGTATATTCAAACACCATTCCATCTAATTCGAGGTATATTCTTTGACAAACGACTTATGAGCAGATGAAGTACGTGCACATCATATCGGTTGATAGAAATGACTTCTCGTCTACACAGATCTATGTTTGATATCTTCAATTAACTCATTCATCAGGTACTTGGGTATGAGCTACACTTCAAGTGTAACGGCTATTGATATTACTCAGATGACCAAACTTGGGTAGGCAGAATGGAATTTAAACCCTAATCATTAAATTACTTCTCCATAATGCAGTATAGGGTATTTGCAATCAACTGTTTAGAATGCCTTCTATAGTTTGTTGTCAGATCTCATGTTGCTCAAAGTTACTTGTATCTTTTTCTTTGCCTTACCTTTTATTACAGTCTAATGCAACATCGTCAAAGTCCAGCTTTTATATTCTTTGAACGTCAATTTAACATGGGATTAAAGGTGATACCCTCATTTTTTATTGTCTAATTTCATAATCATTAGCTTTATATTAAAATATTTTCTGTTGGGAAATTGTACAGGAACTTTTAAAACAGTTAATCATGACTATGATATGATATCAACGTTCCCATCAATTTAGATGTTTTCATCAAGACTTAACTTTAGTTATATAGCCATTGGAAAGTAAAGAACTGAGCTTCCGTTTCTTACTACTATGGAACACTCCAACAATCCACATCTTAGGTTTTGCTACATAATCTCTATCCAAAAATTTATTGTGGAAAACCTTGGCTACAACCAGGTTAGTTATTTACCATCGAAGCTTAAATTCGTACTCAACTAATGGAGGTTACTACTGATGGTGATGTAGGTTCAATCGTTCACAAAGGGGCACATCAGTTCTCTTAAATAGTAAAAACACACTTTACTGACGAGAGACAGCTAGAACAAAATATTCGGACTATTGTGGCCATATTGATCAATACTGAACGACTAAACGATATGATATTAATAGTTGTTGGTATTGGTGTATCATACATTATATTGAAATTAATTATCCTTAATGTATTACCATCTTATTGACTGAATCAAGTTTAAACTTGTTTCTAAATTTGGTTTCTTTATCTTCTACATAGAATAATATTTAACACTGACAACGGTCTGACGTTCTGATAAACAGACAGTCATCATCAACATAAAGCATGAGACACAGATGTGCTCTGGCCCAATCTGACATAACCGATTAGTACGACAAGATGAAAATAACGAAGAAAAAACATCAAAGTAATATGTTAGCAATGATAAAAAAGAGTGACTAAATGGTAGAAATCTGATTTAAAATATCATTGGAAAAGTATATCTCAAAGAGTATTGGAATTCAAGATCAAGGGGAAAATAAACAATGAATACTGCATATACACCATTGAGAATGATTCTGAACTATGTCACTTAAATATCTTTGACTTTTGTTGGCGGTTATCACGCAAACCTCTATTTTTATTTATTTATTTTAACACGTAGATACACACACACACAAATCTCATTTGATATGTGTGAGGGCTGTGATACTGCTCGGGTGCCTAAACCGAAGCAGGTGATTTTCCTAGGGAACCACACCCCGAGCCTTTGACCTAAAGGTCTGATCCACAAGGCAGTGGAGCATCGTGAGGAGATCTAGTCCCATGGTAGCCGGTGACCAACGATTGGTTCATACTCCATTTGTTCCTTCAGGATATCGGAGCTCATGTGCACCATTGATTTGGGATCCGGTTAAAGCCGGTGCCGGACATTCGTTTTTCGTCCTCTCATTTCCGTAAACAACGTCCGTGGTGTGAGAAGCCAGTGAGTAGGACTTCCCTGACAGAGGCTATATACGCGTGGCCATGTGAGAGCATTTCGAGAGGGAGAGCGAACTCTCCCTTCTCTCGACCATACCAGGGTATTTGGGGGCTCAGTTTAATATTCAATGACTTCTCCTAACAGTAAATTCATCAAACAAAAAAATTATTTTAGAGAGTCATATAATATTTAAATTGATGATCATTTTATACATGTACATGTACATGTATTACCCCCTCGTAGAGGAACATAGGCGGCCACCCACTAGGATTTTCCATCGAACTTTAGTTAACTTTTTGTTTTAATCATTCATTTCAAGTAACATTTTCATGTGAATAAAGTGTTACATGTATTCTATTCATTTGTTTTTTTTAGCTATTAAAAAATATTCTACTTTGGTCAAATCTACTCAGTGTAGATACATTAAAACATATTAGTCTTACTTGTTTAATAAATCGTTATCTTTTAGTTGGATTAGCTTGTTTATTATCAGTTGTTACTATGAAATCCAATGAAGAAAAATCTAATCCAATAGTGAATTCATTATTTTCTACTGGATTATCAATTGATCAATCTGGTTCATTAGCATTTCGTGATGCTGTACAAAAATTAAAAACTATTGTTGATTTATTACCTTATGAATGGTTGAAATCATCAATTCCTTCAGTAAAACAAGATAATGATAATAATAAGATGGATAATAATGATAATGATGATGACGAGGAATCTTCAAGTAAAGTATCATTAACTGGTGTTTCAGATCCACTTAATCAAATTAAAAGATTTTTAACACAATTATTAGAAAATATACCACCTACTCGAATGTATTCAGATATTAATGTTGGTCAAGCAGATATTCAAATCATTGAACGGTATGTAAGAAATCATTGAGTTAAATAATAATTGTTACTTTACTTACTCTCAATGGAGCATAGGCCGCCGTTTTTTTTTTCTGGTTAAGGTTTTTTTAGCGAGTTAGTTTTCTACGAGATGTAATCGCTAATCCCATGTCCAACCCTTTTCCTTTATCCGGGCTTGGGACCGGCAGTGGCCCAAGAGGGGCTCCAGGCAGAGTTATTAAATTAGTAATAATAATGATAAATGAAATTTGTAAATAATGTCTTGTTTGTATCATATCTTCGACATCCGAGGGAAAACACGGCATACAATGGACAGCTCAGAATCAATTAGACGATTTAGACTTCACAGATGACCCAATCCTCCTATCGCATACACACGAACAAATACAGATAAAGACAGTCAGTGTAGCAGCAGTCTCAGCATCAGTAGGCCTCAACATACACAAGGGGAAAACCAAGGCCATCAAATACAACACGGAGAACAGCAATCCAATCACTCTTGATGGAGAAACTCTGGAAGATGTACAATCCTTTATATACCTGGGAATCATCATCGATAAACAAGGAGGTTCAGATGCAGACGTAAATGCGAGGATCGGCAAAGCACGGGCCGCATTCCTTCAATTGAAGAATATATGAAACTAAAAACAACTTTCAACCAATATCAAAGTCAGAATCTTCAATACGAACGTCAAGGCAGTTCTACTGTACGAAGCTGAAACTTGGTGAACTACTACAACCACCATTACGAAGTTACATGTATTTATCAATAGCTGTCTACGCAAGATACTCAACATCCATTCCCCGGATACCACCAAGAATAGCCTTTTGTGGAAGAGAACCAACCAGATTCCAGCGAAAGAGGAAATTAGGAAAAGATGATGAAAATGGATAAAACATATATCACGCAAATCATCAAACTGCATCACGAGACAACTCCTAACTTGGAATTGTGAAGGGAAGCGGAAAAAATGAAGGCGAAAGAACACATTACGTCGGGAAATAGTAGCAGATATAAAAAGGATGAATAAGAACTAGAAGGAGCTGGAAAAGATTGCCCAGGACAGGGTTGGATGGAGAATGCTAGTGAGCGGCCTATGCTCCTTCACGAGGGTTAATAGGCGTAAGTAAGTAAGCAAGTTGTATTATATCTATGCTATTAATTTCATGTTTACATCATCCACTTTTTTATACACACCTATCTACTTACTTATTATGAGTAGTAAGTTGAATGCTTACCCTGATAAACTGTTGATTTGTTCAACTGCATTATATCTTCATATATTTAAAATCTAAAGTTTACCACATGGATAAAATTTAATGAGTGTTATACAGTGTTATTGATGTTGTTAGGATATACAACTCGAATATACGAACATGTCCTAGCGTAGTTTTACAAGGGTTAGAAGAAAGCAGTTAGAAGTTCCATTCTTCAACATCTAATCGATTCTAATCGCTTCACTGATCCACAGGTTAATTTTAAGGCTGTTTATACGATTTTTCCAAACGTATCTAGACTTCTTCGTACCCAACTCCTTAAAACTGCAGAAGCTTTTAACATCCATGAATTGAAGCCAGAACTCTACGTACAACAGAATTATGTTTTATCCCTATGGTTACCACAACCTTAAATGATAAATTTCGTATTTGAAAATATCCTTCCCTCAAATTACATTTCATATCCTTATGATTTTATTCATACCTGTTTCTGATATCACTTCATTCCACTGAACCCCTCTATTACCTTTAATTGTTGTAACAAATATGTTTTGATAATCTTACTCCATTTAGATTATAATCCATTGTTAATTTATTAATTTAAACAGGCTTTTTATTTTCACACAGATAATCATCTTTTCTTGTTATTATTCACATTACGTAATCTAGTATTATAATCTTGAGATTATAGAGATTTGTAGTTTAGGTGGATGATTTTAGTGGAGTTTTATTCTCTGAGTTGGATGGTTTGATCTTGGAGATTTTATTGTTTCTCTGAACAACGTTATCAGCACAAACTTTAACCTAGAAGTGAAGTGTTCGAATCTCTCCACATATGACTAACAGCTTGTCCAGTAAACCTAGATCTTCATTGGTTATGGTTGACCTTTAACTTGTCATTGTTTACTTTATTTTGATTGCATCTTCCTTTGGTTTGATTCTTGGTCCTATATTTGTCCATGATTTCTCTGATCGGTTGATAGATTGGATTGATTTCAATGTGTTTATTGGTTGCTAACTGACCTGGGTTTCAAGTTTCTAAAAATTTTCTGGTGTTTTTAGAGTTGCCTCTATCCAAGATCCTAACATTTTCCTAGTCGAATGTATGTCCACAGTTGCCCACGTGCATTGCATTGATATAAGCGAGGATACATAATAGTGTTTGACCACTAATTAATGTTCGTGAAGGCGAAGGTGAAGGGAGCGTCCACTTCATCTGATATAGTATTTTCCGCAGTTGAAGCAATTTATTTTGTAGATGATATTCAGTTTTACTTCTTTTGTTATTTCGTCATTTGATTTTGTGATTCTGTAAGTTTGTTTACTACACCTATTCCAAAAGGCTTCAATAATCTCGTAATTTTTTGATGTCTTTTATATGTATGGTAGAATGATATGTTTATTGGGTTCTATACCTGATTTTGCTTCGGCTGATGCGTTTGGTTGATATTTGTTAATGAAGTCGGTTGACTATCCGTTCTTTTGAAAGATAGTCTTTAGGTGTTTTTCTTCATTTTTCCTCACTTCAAGTGTGTTGCATTGTGCTCTTGCCTTCTTGAATAGGGTTTTTACCCAGTTGATTTTGTGAGTTCTTGGGTTGTTGTTACTGTAATTAAGGATTTGATTTGTGTGGGTCGGTTTCCGATATAATTAAGTGTCCAGTTTTTCTGTGTTGGTTCTGGTGATTAATACATCCTTAATGAAAGGAATATAGATACATAGTTATCTAGTTAATTAGTAATTAAACAACAACAGTGGTCTTGAATGGTTGGAGACTCTTGGTGACATGGCTCAGAATCGATCGGTCACAATAGCGTAGGTGCATACACTCTCTGTCTTCGCTTAAACCATGAGATTTAAATCGCTTCATATCTTTCGTTCTACCAACTAATTCTTTATTCCTGTACTATCTCCTTATATGCAATCTTTCTTTTATATATTACCACCATTGAATTAACTACTTCTATGATTCCGGAGTTCATCTTGTTGTTCTAACGGGGTATGACAACTTGGACTGATGCATATATGTGCTTGGTCCTACGTTGCAGCTGACTAACTGACTGACACAACAACACAATAACTTTCACAGTTAAAATCACAAATTAATCTAAGCTAGACCACGATTAAAAACCTGAAAGCACTGGACGGTCTTTTCGTTCTAGTATGGGACTAAGTAGTGCTTGTCCATGATAATTAATAATAAAAATGTTATAGCTTGTGACCTGTGTGCCCTGTCAATGGATAACGTGATGATACCGCCAATCAAAGAGCAGTGAATTATCTATCGGACCAATGACGTGTAAAACACGTGCGAGCAGTCTAGAGTCATTATTGGTTCTAGCCCAGCCAGTTAAGTCCAGAACAACATTCTCAGCCTCTGTGATATGAACCATGTATTTCAAACATACTGGATATATTTACCAACCAGACAGACCACATCGTACCAATAAAATAGGAAACAACATTTGTACAAGTTTTAACCAAATGTGGATGTGAATAAGGGAGACTGTAATGAATAGACTGGGCATAACTCAAGAATGATAAATCCTATAATAACAATTCATAGGTCAAATTGAAGCTTATAATAAGAGGGACACGAATATGAACAGTTTAGTTACATAACAATTATACGATAAAAATATATACGTATAGTATTGATCCATAAATGGATCTCAAAAGTTACCATTCATTATGCTTATCGGGGCAGAACAAAATAAAATAACGCGAAAAGCCAGTTCTAATTTCTGTAGCATTTACTTCGTTATAACAACGTTAATAATAATTGATAATAATGATTTTTATTGTTGTTATTACAGGGAATGTATGGGAACTTTGTTACAATTACAAGATTTATTAAAGAATTGATCCCCATATCTATTATGAAACCCTTGCATTACACTCAAATGTATGTATTTGTTTGTATGTTCATATATGTATATAGTTTGTTTTTTAATCATTTTATAAATGAGTAAAAAAAAAAGAAAAAATATTTATTTTCCAGTTTTGAAACTAAAGATTTTTAAGGTAATTCCATCTCTACAAATAGATGTGAATTTGTAAAATACAAAGTACTAAAGATTCCCTTTGACTACGTTTTCTGAATATTATATATATATATATATATATATATATATATATATATATATATATATATATATATATATATACGTTGGGTTGTGTATAGTGTAACCCTCTGGTGTACTATTGTAGTAAACAAGAACACAGGTGGGGACAGTCGAATGTATTTGACAACAAATTACAAAACTAGTTAATAAAATCTAACAACCATAAAGTAAATGCTCAATTTGCAAAATGTTCATCAATTGTCTCAAAATGACTCAGACTTCTTTTGTTCTTGCATTTTCATACAAATTACATTCTGTCTTCGTTCTTTACTGTTCGATCTTCTTGTCTTTCTGTTGCGAGACATTCTATCCACGACTAACATCATATACTACTTATATCTGCATAAGTAGCACACACCACACTCGTCCCTCCTTTAAAAGCAGTCGTTCTTGCCCGCCCTGCCACATTCTTCTTTTCCGCAGTCTGTGCTACACCCTCCGTCAAAATGTCGAGTCTGCGGTGCGCTGACCTTCATAGCTCCGTCGACCTGCCGGGGCACCAACATCCCACCGGCACCTGGGACGTCTAACACCCGTGCTCTCCTGATTGGCAGCGACACCAAATTTAGTGAACAGAACATGAGTGGGGAACAATGGAGTGTATTTAACAACAAATTACAGAACTAGTTAGTAAAATCTAACAACCATATATTAAATGCTCAATTTGCAAAATATCCATCAATTGCCTCAAATGACTGAGACTTCCTTTGTTCTTGTATTTTCACACAAATTGCATTCTGTCTTCATTCTTTACTGTTCGGTCTTCTTGTCTCTCTACTGCCAGACATTCTGTCAACGACTTACATCATATACTACTTATTTCTACATAAGTAGTACACACCACACTCTCAATATCTAACGTGTTCTAATTTTCTGTCCAGACTTGTTATTACTTTCTGTACGGTTTTATGATATCTCTATTTTATTATGATTAAACAACTATATATGTGAATTCATAATGAAGTTTTATATGCGTCTTTTATTACTAAAGACAAAACAAACAAACAAACAAGCAGTACGTAATAGAGCTGTTACTTGTTTAAAGTTCGTTATTTTACGATAGTTTTATGTGTTATGATGATGCATAGTTTACTATAATGATTATGAATGTGTATATATTGAATGACATAAATCAATTTATAGATAGTTGTGAATAATAAGGTAAATGGTGTGTATATTGGCATCTGTCATTGACGACTACTGGTTGATTTCACTATAGAAGGTTACTTATTGTTGAGATGCCCTAAAAACAAACTCTCAATACCAGGAAAAGTCTTCAACAGGGTATTGTTAAACAGGATAAAGGACTCCGTAGACGCCCAACTTCGAGAACAACAGCCTGGATTCCGTAAAGATAGATAGTGTATAGACCAAATCGCAACTCTACGGATCATTGTAGAACAATCAATTGAATGGAATTCATCACTCTATATCAACTTCATCGACTACGAAAAAGCATTTGAAAGCGTGTACAGGACAACAGTATGGAAGCTTCTTCGACACTACGGCGTGCCTCAGATGATAGTCAATATCATACAGAATTCCTATGATGGATTAAACTGCAAAATCGTTCATGGAGGACAGTTGACAAAGTCGTTCAAAGTAAAGACCGGTGTCAGGCAAGGTTGCTTACTCTCAACCTTTCTCTTTCTCCTGGAGATCGACTGGATCATGAAGACGTCAATATTTGAAGGGAAGCACGGGTCATCTAGGATGCAGTTGGACGTCTAAAGAATAGTAATAAAACCCATGGAAGTAAAGAAGACTGGATATGGGAAGTACTCAGGGAAGAAGAAATGATATGAGGGAATAATGGTCATGAAATAGTATTGAAAATTAAGACTTTGAGGAAGGTTAAGAATGAATGTACTGAGACTGAATTTGAGCTATTTTCTAAGGTCTTCCATCATTGATCGTAATTATCAAGCGAAATAGTACCTATCATGCAAAGTAATTTAACTGATCATTGCAATTATGGAAACTAGTAACTTTTGAATATTTTATTAGTAACTTTTATTACTTTTTGAGCGCCAAGATTTCATCATCAATTGACTATCGATATTACTATCAAAGATGTTTGTCTTTGCTTCGTTGGATTGACGATAACTATAACATTTGTTCTATTCTACAAACAGTTAATCATTCTATATTTTCTTTCTGAGTGTATAAATAAAGAACAGTTAAGTTCTTGTTTGTTCTGGACGATCTAGACTTTGCAGATGATCTGGCTCTTCTATCACAAACGCAACAACAAATGCAGGAGAAGACGACCAGTGTACCAGGAGCCTCAACAGTAATACGTCTCAATATACACAAAGGGAAAAGCAAGATTCTCCAATACAACACAGCATGCACCAATCCAATCATACTTGATGAAGAAGATTTGGAAGATGTAAAAACATTTACATATTTGGGCAGCATCATTGATGAACACGGTGGATCTGATTCAGATGTGAAGGCACGGATCCGCAAGGCAAGAGTAACATATCTACAATTGAAGAACATCAGGGACTCAAAACGATTGGCAGCCAACACCAAAGACAGAATTTTCAATACATATGTTAAGACAGTTCTACTGTATGAGGCCGAAATCTGGAAAACCACGAAAGCCATTATCCAGAAGATACAAGTGTTTATTAACAGTTGTCTACACAAAATACTTCGGATCCATTGGCCGGACACTATAAGCAACAACCTACTGTGGGAGAGAACAAAACAGATCCCAGTGGAGGAAGAAATCAGGAAGAAACGCTGGAAGTGGATAGGACACACATTGAGGAAAGCTCCCAACTGTAGCACAAGGCAAGCCCTCACATGGAATCCTGAAGGTCGAAGGAGGAGAGGAAGACCAAAGAACACATTACGCCGAGAAATGGAGACAGACATGAGAAAAATGAACAAGAAATGGATGGAACTAGAAAAGTAGGTCCAGGACAGAGTGGGTTGGAGAATGCTGGTCGGCGGCCTATGCTCCAATAGGAGTAACAGGCGTAACTAAACCTTAAAAAGAAACTGGATTATAGGTGACTTTGGTGATCTAGTTGCGTAACTACAGAACTGAAATGATAATCGTCTTAGATCAGTTACTTACGGTGAGTAGTTATTACTCTGTTAACTCTATAGTCTAAAGGGCTTACAACCAGCAACGATAATCCATAAGGGATTTTAAAGTATATAATTTTTGGAGTCAGTCTTTTCTGATCTATCTTTCATTGTGCATAGCATTACTGCAGATGTTGATTATCTGAAGGAAACATCTTATTGTTGTCACACCTCTATACAGTCAGAAGCGTGAATTCATCCTTTGACCTTAAGTTACTACTTGTAGTCAATTGTATCCAGGTTTCGTTATTTTGATAAACGTACATCAATACTGAAACCAATTGATGATTTGACAAGAAAGGGATATTGTTCTATGAAGTAGGAATTTTTCTAATGCAGATTATATCCACTCTGTCAAATGCGTTTTCATAATCAAAGAAGTTAATATATGATGATGAGTTCCGTCCAATGGATTGTTCAACAGTGATCTGTAGGGTCGCGACGATATATGAGTGTAAATTCGTGAGAATTTGAAAGATAAGTTCTCCAAGTAATTACGTTATATTTGAAAAGACTTGACTAATTATGATTGTTTGCTAAACTACGCTGTATTTTAAATTATATCATCATACGCTGAGTGGGACTTGTTACATGCATCGTTTCAAATTGCTATACCACGTTATCACAACGAGATAAACTTATTTGAATATAAATCTCAGAGTAGTAGAAGCGGTAACTGTATCAGTAGTAGTATAAAAAATTTTCAGAACCTAGGTTTTAGAGGGAAATAAAGAGTGAATATGCCTCCAGTATTCCATACGCTTCTGAGCTATGTCACTGAAAGTCTAACTATGCGTTACAATAATCACGCGTCCTCCACCCAAGTAGTTTACACCTAAATAAATATCTTAGCCCAATTATGATGGCTCCAAAGTTTGATCTCACGTCTTGATTTCGACACCCCGACCTTCTTCCCAAACTATTTCTACACCAGACAGCATCGATGTAAGCAGTGGTTAGGCATACGTAACACATGTCCCAACCATCAGTATGTCGAAAAATATCTTTTTTAAAATGTACAGAAATGCTTCGACACACTGGTACAAGAAGAGCAACGATTTTTGCTTTAAACTACTTGCAGAACGAGATATATTGATATAATAGCACTCAATATTGTCGATTAACATCTTAATGACTTCACAATACTTCAACACTGTAGGGATATCGTTGCTTTGATAGTTTCGTTCTCTGAGGTCTATTCTGTTCTTGTATATATCGAATGATATTCAATTGACTAACCGACTGTTAATCACGTTAAATAACATGTTTTTCGGTTCACTAATCCGTTCTATCAAATATTCATTAGTCTTATGATATAAGGTCTAATTATAACTACTTAGCTATCCAAACAGAAGTAAATGTTAATGATTGAGATCATGAGTCAAATGAAGCTAGACCACCATGGAAAACCTCGAAGAACTAGATGACCATTGAAATTAATATAATATCCACAATAAGCCTTCTGATAATAATGAACATATGCACACTAGTGACTGGTTTCAAGAGGTATTTCCTAGAGTTCTACTGAGACGCAGTGAACAGTGAAGTTCAACCAGGTCTGTTGTGAGATAGTAAGTCACCGAAGATAATAGTGAAAGTATCGAACAATTTCGTGGATTAGTTGAAGTTAGGCGTTAATCATATGTTTTATTGTTTTGAATGCTACTTGTTATATTTAGTCGTCGCTGATTTTTGTGTCAGAAATGCTTATCACTTATACTCGAAACGAGGGACTTCTGGAATTCCCACGACGCGAACGTAAGAACAAAAAGACTGGTATAAGTGAATATTTATTAACCCCACAAAAACACGATGACGACGACGAATCTAGTCAAAAATACACTCATTTATGTATTGATTG